AAAAAAAAAAAAAGTAAAAACAAGCACCCTCTAGAATGGTCACTATCAAAATAACAGGAAATAGCAAACGCTGTTAAGGAGGGAAGACAAGAGTCCTCCTGTGCTTCCGATGGGGTGCTAACTTCTCAGCTGCTGTGGAAAACAGTGTGTGAGCTTTTCCAAATCTAAACGCACAGCCAGGTGCTGTGTCACATGCCTGTCACCCCGGCGCTCAGGAGTTTGAAGCAGACGCATCTCAGGTATAGACCACCCCTGGTTACACAGTGAGACTTGACTGAAAACCAGTATCCAATAAAAACGTAAAAGCTCAATGCAGAAGGCACATGTGATCCAACTGTCTCACTTCTGGATCTAATCTGACAGCACTGAGCCCAGGCTCCCCAGCAGATCCTCTTCACACGAGGTTCCCAGCAGTACTACCCACAATAGCCAGGAGGCAGACCATAATCCGGGTGTCCATCAAGGGATGAGTGAGTAAACAAACGTGCCTCCGTTGCACAATGGGATACTCAGTGTCAGAAAGGAAAGAAATTGACACATGCTATGACATATGACCTTTGAAGACGTTTTCCTAAGGGAAACAAGCCAATCACCAAAAGACAAATACTATATGCCTCCATTAACGGCAAAGTAAACTCCAGGAAACAGAAAGTAGGACGGGAGTTGCCAGGGGGTGGGGAGGAGGGGCGGGCAGTCAGTATGGATAGGGTTTCTGTTTGGCAAGGTGAACAAGTTCTGGAGATCTGTTGCACATTGTGAATATTCTTAACGGTAATGAGCTGTGCACTTAGACGTTCTGGTGAGGGCTGGAGAGATGACTCGGCACAGGGGGTGCAGCTGTGTAAGCAGGAGGACCTGAGTTTGAATCCCCAGAACCCATGGTAAAGGCTAACATGGCTGTGTATGCCTGCAACCCCAGTGTTGGGGCATACAGCGCAGGCACATGCATCATACACACACACACACACACACACAAACACACACACACTCAGAGTAAGGCGTTTGCCCCTAAACTTTATAACCTAAGACCCACAGGGTGAAAGGAGAGAACGGTCTCCTGCAAGTTGTCTCCTACCTCCACACAGAGAGAGATGTGCACACAATTAATTATTCTGTTAATTAATTTTAAAAGAAATGGTTTACACAAACTAGGAGTGGTGGTGCATGTCTATAATCTTAGCGCATAGGAGGATGGAGAGTTCAAAACTAGCTTGGGCAACATAGAGCGTTATGACTTCATGGAGCTTTAGAAGGACCAATTAGACATAGGGAGGTCTTCTAGCAGGATATTCCTCCTGCCCTGACAAGAAATACTGGGTTTAAAAGAATTCAGTGGCACGAGTCTAAAAAGGGTGGAACAGATTGAGTTCATCACCCAGATCTTTGTTCCTCTGTAACAGAAGTAACCATGCCTTCACCATGTTAGGCAGGGAGACAACTTTCTTATCTAACCTTTTCTTAAAAATTATTTTATGGCCGGGTGGTGGTGGCGCACGCCTTTAATCCCAGCACTCGGGAGGCAGAGGCAGGCGGATCTCTGTGAGTTCGAGGCCAGCTTGGTCTACAGAGCTAGTTCCAGGACAGGCTCCAAAACCACAGAGAAACCCTGTCTCGAAAAAAAAATTATTTTATGTATGCAAGTGTTTGCCTGCATGTACATGTGTGCACCATGTGTGTGCCTGGTGACCACAGAGGCCAGAAGAAAACACCAGATCTCCTGAACTAGAGTTACGGGGGTTGTGGACCATCATGTGGGTGCTGGGAACCAAGGCCAGAAGAAGGCATCAAATCTCCTGGAACTAGAGTTACAGAGGGTTGTGGACCATCATGTGGGTGCTGGGATCCAAGCTCAGGTCCTCTGCAAGAGCAACTTAACTGCTGAGCAATTTTGTCAGGCTCTAGATTTTATATTCAAATCATAACAATATGATTGTTGTTTTAAACTTTCTTTTGTGGCAAAGTATCACTCTAGCCCAGGCTGGCCTCAAAGTCAGCCCTGTTCTCACCACAGCCTCCCAAGTGCTGAGACTTCAAGAGTAAGCCACTGTACTTGCTAGTTGTATATCAGCTTGACACAAACTATCTGAAAGGAAGGAACCTCAGCGAATACAATGACTGCATTAGATCTGGATGTAGGCAAGCATATGGGGCATTTTCTTAATTAGTGACTAACGGGGGACTGCTGTGGGGTAATGCTCTTATACACTGTAAAGATTTGTCACTCATATTAGCTTATTAACACGCTGATTGGCCAGTAGCCAGGCAGGAAGTATAGGTGGGTGGCCAGACTATAAGAATTCTGGGAAGAGGAAAGGCAGACAGTCAGTCACAAGCCAGAAACAGAGGAAGCAAGATGGGAATGCTTCATTGAGAAAGGTACCAAGTCACAGAGTTAAACATAGACAAAAAGGGGCTGGAGAGATGGCTCAGAGGTTAAGAGCATTGCCTGCTCTTCCAAAGGTCCTGAGTTCAATTCCCAGCAACCACATGGTGGCTCACAACCATCTGTAATGGGGTCTGGTGCCCTCTTCTGGCCTGCAGGCATATATTCAGACAGAATATTGTATACATAATAAATAAATATTAAAAAAAATAAAATAAAAATAAATAAAAAAGCTATATTAATCGTGTATTTAAAAAAAAACATAGACAAAAAGTATGGGTTAATTTAAGTGTAAGTCATAGTAGCCTCATCCATAAATGAGAACCGAGAGTGGCTGCCCTGAGATGGTCTTTAGGACCTACAAAACCAAGCAAAGGACAAGTATCTGATACGTAGTAGTAGGTGCTCAGAAACTGGCATCTGTCACTACTGACTCAGCTATGAATGACTGTGTTTTTGTTTTTTAGTTTTAATTTTTAAAATAGGAGACAAAGGGGAACTCTAGGAACTTTTAAAAGAGACTCAGAAAATTTTGAAAGGGGCTCAACAGATGCTCAGTGGTTGATAGCGCTGGCTACTTCTATAGAGGACCTGGGTTCAATTCCCATTACCCATGTGGTAGCTAACAACCCTCTATCACTCCAGTTCCAGGAGATCTAATGGCCTTCTGGCTTCCACAGGCACTGAATGCATGTGGTCCACAGACATAGAAGCAGGCAAAACACTCATTCATATAAAATAAAAATAAATTTAATTGTTTTGTTTTGTTTTTGAGATAGAGTTTCTTTATGTAACCCGGGACGTGCTGGAATTTTCTCTGTAGACCAGGCTGACCTTGAACTCACAGAGATCCACCTGCCTCTGCCTCCCTTTAAGAGACAAGCCCCGCCCTCTCCCAACCCCTCCCCTTCCAATGAGGGAAGTGGGATATTCCACCTCCTCCAGCCTGTGCTCTCTCTCTTTCGGTCTCTCTTCTGAAGAGGTAACTACTATCTCTCCTCTCTCCTCCTCCCTCTCTCTTTACCTCTCTCTCTCTGTCTCTCTTCTTCCCTTTCCCGTCCATAACACACTAAATAAATAATAAACTTGCCTCTCTTCATGATGTATCTGTCTGTCTCTCACTCACCCCAGTTTCCCACCATCAAGGTGACCCACCAAGGCCTCGGGGGACTTGACAAGGCCTGGGGGACCCGCTGGGGCCTCAGGTCACCTCATGGGACCAGCCTTCCCCCTCTTATATCTTTAAAAAAGAATAATACTCACCACTTCTGCTGTCAACCTGGGGCAAAGCATTTAACATATGGGCCAGTGGGAGACACACAACATCCATATTGTAATGGTTTAAATAAAATGCTGCAGGTCCCCGAGTTGCAGCAGT